ACCCCAAACCCCAAACCCCAAAAGGACAAAACCGGCGAGGCTCCGCCTCTCGGCGCTCTCTGCGAGGCTCCGGCTCCCGGCGCGGCTCGGGGCTCGGGCCTCGGAGATCTCCCGGCTTTTCAAAAGGCGGCTCCTTTAAGGGACCTCTTGGGTTTAGGGTTTAGGGTTTAGGGTTTAGGGTTCAGGGTTTAGGGTTTAGGGTTTAGGGTTTAGGGTTTAGGGTTTAGGGTTTAGGGTTTAGGGTAGTAAGGGCTCTATACTTGGAGGTTCATGGGACTTAATAAGTACAGTTATAAGTACCTGAATTCGGGTTATGAGTAGTTATAATTATAGTTACCTTGTTCATAACCCTAATTGCTAAGTCCCATGAACCTTTAAGTAGGGTCTGGGGCTTTGAGGGCTTGAAGGGTTTAGGTTTTAGGATTCCTTTTGTTGTTTCTTCTAGGATTCCTTTTCTCCAGTGGCCCAAACGTTTCCCACAGGACGTTGAAAGGGCTCGGGCATTAGGGTTTGGGATAGTTTGGCCTTAGGCATTCAGGAGGGTTTGGTGTTCTTGGGATTTGGACCGTTTGCTTCGGGATTTAGGATTAAAGGTCACGGTTCGGAGTTTCAAGGCTTTCGGCTCTAGACGGGCTTCGGGATTTGATGACGGCTCATGGAACTACCGATTAGGTTTTAGTCTTGGGGCTTCAGGAATCGGCATTTGGGTTTAGGGTTCAGGAAACACAACTCTGGCCGAAATGAGTCTGATGCTTCTTCTCGGCCCTCCCTCTCTGTGACTGCTGCAGTCACAGCGTAGACCGTCGCATCCGCAGTTGTTCTGTCCCAAGAGGAAATCTCGAAACCCTCGAGCCCTGAACCTTTCGTTTCCACCGAAGGTGTCCCTGGCTCACACTTGTTGAGCCCCTTGCGCCTTCTTTTCCGGCCACCTCCCTTGCCTGATCTTTATGGGCTCAGCGCTTTGGGTTCACGGCTCAAGCGTTTACGAGTTTAGGGCTTCAGGGCTATCATGACTGGCTGCAAAAAAGCGATAAGTTTCCGGAGCATGGCTACAAACAACGAGGACCCTTGGCCTACATCACTCCTTCGAAGCTCCGCTGGGGTTCAGGCTTTTGGGTGAACTCTGATGACATGGTATTCTACATACTGAAACCTTGGGTAGTCGTAAGAAGTGAGAGATCCAGGCATCATGTTGTATACCTCCCAGTCCCCCCCCAAGTTTCGTCCGTGCAGGCTGGGACTTTGGCATTGGAGCTCATGGTCTGTGCTTGGCGCTCAAAGGTTTTTGAGCCTAGAGCTTTGAGGAAGGGGCTTGGGGCTCGGCGGGATTCATATAGAGGTTTGCGGCACAAGGCTTCAGGAGTTCTGCGGTTTGCATCCAAAACCCTGATAAAGCAACGCTGTGTGTGTGTGTGGGGGAAGTATCATGACGACCCTTCTGTTCCTACAAGCTTGAAAAGACAAGCACTCTGCCAAAGCCTAAACCCTCTAAATCCGAAGCCCTGAACCAACCCCAAACCCCTAGACCCCTTAACCTAATCCTAAACCCTGAACCCTAAAATCCACACCATACAAACCCTAAACCAACCAACTTCCGCCTCCGCCGTTGGTTTTCTGCTCCTCGACCAGGTCCTGGAGAGGATTGCAGTGAACAGGGTTGGGAGAAATGGACGAGGGTTTACGGGTTGAGGGTCCAGGGTTTGGGTTGGGGTTTAGGCCTTCGGAACAGGACTCCACCCTAAACCCTAAACCCTAAACCCTAAACCCAAAGTCCCCAAACCCTAAACCCTAAACACTAAACCCTAGGTTTACTTTTCCTTCAAAAAAAGGCTTCAGGGTTCAGAGTAGATAGTTTCCAACATGTTGGAGTTCACCGGTCAGAAACAAAGGTTGGCACGGTAGCATCAAATTGTAGGCTCGTGGTTCGGGTTCGTCAAGCATTTTGAAGCTAATCAAAGCAGGCTTCAAAGACAAGAACGCGTCTGCATGCCACTACGAACCCTCAACCTCCAGCCGAGTCAGAGCTCAAAAATGACGATCCTGGGATCCGCGCAAAGCAAACCTTGAGGAGAACTTCCCGCGATCCCAAAGCCCCACTAAAGAATGGAGTTTGGCGGCCCGACACCCTCAATCTGAGGAAAGCCAAAGCCCCAGCAATGAGCTCAATCCCAACCTCCAAACTCAGGTCCAACTTCCGCTGCACATCCTTCATTCGAGACCTTTAGCAACGGAGGGTTGAGGATGTGGGGTTCGAGGTCTGGTCCTTGGGAAGTAGCACTTGGGGCTCATAAGGGGTGATGGCTTTTCTGGTACGAAGGCCCTCGGACATGCCGCCTGATGATGCAAAGAGGTTGAGCGGGCAGGAGTAGGAGTATACAGTATGAGTAAGAGTAGCAGTTGTGGTAATGGTAGTAGTCAGTGGTGGTGGTAGCAGCAGCGGAAGTAATGCATTGTCGTCCATCCAAGAGAGGAGATCTCCTGAATGCTTGAGCTCTGTCAAAGTGCAACGAGGGCCCCTGCATGCCTAAAACCACAAATTCAGGCTCTCCTGATTCCTAAACCCTAAACCCTAAACCCTACCTACTCACGCCATAGGCTGCCGACCCCATGGCCGCCCTTCCCAGGCTCGCAGACCTTCTGGGAGTTGGGGATGGCTCTCAAAGGCGCCACTAGTTCGGTCTACCAGGAATTATAAGACGGTTTAGGGTTTAGGGTTTAGGGAAAACTGGGCTCTATAAGGGTTCTAGGCAGGGGCAGTAAAGTTTGTAAAAAAGCTCTACAAGAGCTTGGGCTCAGAGTCTGGATCTGGGGCTTATGGTAGGTTTATAGGTTTGGGGCTTCGGGCTGAAGTCACTTCAGGACCGTTGCGGCTGTGTGAGGCAAGCTCGCAAGTGAAATCCTGCACCCCAAGCCCTACATTGCAAATGCCCTAATCCCATCCATGCCCACACCCTAAACTACACTGCATAGCCCAGACACCGTAAGCCATGAACACCAACGAACTCTACACCCTGAACCGCATGCCCTCAGTCTAAGCTCCAGAAGACCCCAAGAGGCTTCAACCGTTGAATGTCAGTGAAGGCGAGTAGAATGAAGGATCCCTGGCACAAGGAAGCTTATGTTGGGCTCACTGACATACTTTCATCCCACCTTTGGAATTTGCTGAGGCTGGTCCTTAACTCATCAACATTTCCCGGGCATAGCGACTCCTGACACCACCCCTTGGTGAAGCAGTGAGAAACAGCTGAAGCGCCACGCTGAAAAAGGCGCGCCGAAGCCAAATTGGCCCCTAAACCCCAAACCCTACCCCAAAACCTCTCAAAGTCACATCGAGCCTCCGGCAGACAACGATCCGCAAAGAGGTCAGCAACGCTCAGCGGTCATGAAGCCGAGAACGCGGGGTTCCGAAACTGGAACTGGAGCTAAAGTCCTGGGGTTTGGGGTTAGACGTATGCGGGCTAGTCATGGCCAGGTCTGCATCTTGTAGCTAATATGTTATAATCATTATAACCATTAATATTATGGTTCTTATTAATAGTATTAATATTATTCATAATATTAATATTATTAATATGATTAATATTATTGATATTATTGATATTATTGTAGCTGGATATGGCACACCTGAGACCACAAGGCGGCCCTCCAGAGCTTCGCTGTGTGCTTCTCTGGTGATTGCTTCAATGTCCAGGCTATGGTTTGAGACAAGCTTTGCAGTCATGCTTGAGATGGAAACAGCCGCAAGCAAAAGCAAGCGATCTGGGTCGGTCATGCGCACAGGGAGCGTGACTGGGGAAAGAAGAGCTGCTTCACCAGCAGCCTCGCACCTAAGCTACAGCTCGCATGAGCTATCCCTGTGCAAAGCCTGAAAGCGTGTGAACCTCCTGACAGGCTTAAACCAAGACCCTAAACCCTAAACCCTAAAACCCTAAACCCCTAAACCCCTAAACCCCTAAACCCCTAAACCCTAACCCCTAAACCCTAAACCCAACTCTGCAGTCAAACTCTAGACCGGCCTTGAACCTCAGACTCGCACAAACCTAGGAATCCTTATACGGGAGTTTCCGAAAATAGGGGGTACCTTATTTTGGGCTCCTGATCATAAGGATCCTATTATTTAGG